CTTCTTTTTATCAACATCCTTCCTGTCAAATGCACATTTCTGTTTGCATTGATCACAAGTAAGTGGGGGTCCATACTTCCGCTCTGAGTTAGTGCATCGTTGACATTTGTTACCAATAAAGGCAGCTATAACATTGCAGTATTCACATGCTGATGGTTTGCCATGTTGCTTCACCATAGACTCGCATTTCTTGCAGATAGTGACGGTGCTGCTCTTGCTGAAAGCCACAGAGCATTGTGAAATAGTCTGCCCACACATGCATTAAAACAGAATCAACACCTACAAGTTTTCATGTAAATGAAAAGCCTATGCTATCCTTAAAACTTAAATATCCCATTTACTCTTATTATTTATATCACAGATAACCTTAAAAGACACAGCTTACCCAGCTTAAAATGTATACTTAAAATGTTATAAAAGTATTATAAACATAAGAACATGTAACCTTAATTAATAATGAAATTATTACGTAAAACTACAAGGAATAGGAGAATCAGGTTTCCTTACAAGGCTTGTCGTTAAATGCAATGTAACAGGAATACATCAACCAAAAAGAAATAAAACTGACACAAACACTAATTGGTAGTTAAGGAAAAATATATGTAATGTAAATAACATATATGATGATATTTCAAATTACTCTAATCCTTACCCTGGTGCCAAGGGTTAAGCTGTCTAGTAACTGCAATTTTCCAAAATGGAAATGGATATTCAATTCTATATAGGGAAATACATGCAAAGGGGGTCACATATTCATCTCCTTCAGAATATAACATTGGATCTTTTAAGAGTGAACAACAATGAAGTACACAAATTACTGTGCATTTTCAGAAGAAAAAAAAAGTTGTAAATCATCCAAATATCATAGCAGTCTGACAAAATTATAAATGATACTGTACTCAAGTCCATTATAAAAGTTTTCACAGCCAAAGCAGATATTCCTCACTAACATGAAAGGCAAAGCTAGTGGCTGATTATAAATAACTGAAATCTAAGTGGCATATTAAATCAAACTTGATAAGTCTTAGTGTGTCGCACCATTAAGTGATCCAAAATCATAATAATATGAATTACAGTCTCAGAGAACCTTACCTTTCCTGCTGGAATTCACTTCGACAGTATGTGCATTTTACAATAGGAAACGAACCTCTACACTCCTGAAAAAATTAGACAAAGATGTATTACTTTTGTTTAATCTTCAAATCAACATATAAATATCTTTGTATAAATACATATAAAGATAATATATTCAATTTTTAACCCAACCAACATGGATTTATGTTCTGTCCCCTGTAGTTTTTGGTGAATTTTGTTACATACAGATGGCCACCAAGGAGTCTATCAGTAGGTCCTAGTGACCGAGCCTGATTTCCCTATTCCTTGAATTGGAGGGAAAATGTGTTTTTCTTTTTAATAAAATTGATATTAATATTGTTATTATTGCTATTTATGTTATGATTATTATTATTATTTATATTTTTTTTCTTTTTTCTTTTTTTTTTTTTTTTTTGTGTGTGTGTGGGGGGGGGGGTGAAATGTCAGTGCACATAGATGGCTCTACTAGTGCTTAGCCACAAAGGAGTCAATTAGTAGATCTTATATTTTTTACTAATGCTGTGAATTTCAATGAAGTTATTTCTATTAAAGACATTATAATTACTATTGTGTTATAAACATTAGGAACAGCAAAATAATATAACAAAATATTATCATAAATCCAGGAAAAGGGTATACAGGCAAGACAGGCAGTAGTCATAATTAGTAATTAGCCATCTGTGTATAAAAACAATGTATGACATGTACATACATGCCATGCCCATCGGAAATGGGTTAAATTGTTATTAAAATAATACAAAAGACACTTTCCAAAAGTCAAGGAAAAGATTAAACAGGTGAGATAGGTAAGATTAATAACTGACTCTTTGGTGACTAAACTATTGTAGACCCTTCTATGTGTAAATAAAATAAATAAACTTTTACTACAGTGGGCATGGCATGTATTCTTGCCATCCATGCCGATTGGGTTAATCACCAAATTCTTTTCTATATTGCCTAGTCTACAAAATATATATTCATTTTAATAGTATTCTTCTTGGCATTCATCCTTACTTTTGAAGTGAAATTTGAGGGACACTTATTTCTTAAATTGCACTTAATTCTACCACTGGTGTTTAATCTAAAATTGCTTACCAATACTATTTAAACATTAAAATTTATCAGGTTATACCAGGTTCTCCTTTTCACAGTATTGGTAGTGTTGTATAGTCTAATCCTTACTGTTATGCGAGATTAAATTAAACATTTGTAAGAAAGTTTAAAATAACCCCCACCAAAATAGGCCATACTTTAAATAAATTTATTTATGATTTGTGTGAAAATATACACTCTGATTACAGATTTCATGCTGCAACTCCTGCAGCCTAAAAAACTTGACCAAGATTTCACAAGAGACCACACAACTGTCTGAGGAGAGAGAAACTGAAAGAACTAATAAGTAACCTATGAGATTTACAGGCATTACTATTACCTTTACTTCATGTAATCAACAGCAGTTTATAATTAATACCTAGGTGAGCATGACTTCTAAGAAATCCTGACAAGCTTTACTTCTCTATATAATGTCTTACTACTTTATAGGAGTTCAATTCAAGTTTAAAAGCTATTTTCACATTCTAAAAATGTTATGCTCGACTATGCAGTATGTGCATGTTGTAGGGTGAATTATACATTTTCCTATGCAATATTAAAATCCTCAAAATATCAAAGACCAAAATCTGACTTATTTAACCCCTTGCCGCCGGGTGACGGCGATACGCGTGTAAACAAATCGCTCGAAAGGTGGCGTGCGGCCAAACCAGCCGGCGGCGCGCCAAAGCGCGGCGAGCCAGTGATTCGGGCTGACGCCCCGTACTCCGGCGCTCAAAGTCGGCGCGCCGCCTTTGTTTGCCAGAGCGTAGAGTTTTATTTTCCTTTTGTACACCCGGCGTCATTGGGTTAAGAAAACTATGGCCCCCAATTGTGAAATTGAAGTTCTAAGGAGTCTGCAAGGATTCATAACATGGGATATGTAACTTCACTTTGATTGGACAACTTGGAACACAGGAATGATTTCATCTTTAAAATAAGAAAATACTTCACAAAATTACAATTTCCCTGATACATCTAACACCTTTGTTAAAACTAAATTAACAAAAAGCACAACACAAGACGTATAGCAGCCACCATAAAAGACACAACAAAGGAACAATTCACATATGATATGAATTCAAACTAAAAACATCTTTAACAATAACAATACTGATACTAACAAATGCCTCACCTTCACTTAAGAGGAGACTTAAATATCAAGTTTCTAAAGGCCATATAACCCATTCTCTAAGTAATTTCCCCGCATTATAGCAAGCTGTGCACTGGATGTCATTAACAATATGCAAGCAGTACTTAAATGAAAAATTAGAGATGCAGGAAACCTATATCAACCTCCCTGCTTTTTAATTAAGTGTACAATTTTTTTTCAAGAAACAAGGATAATAAGACTTGCAACCTAGTTTTGTGAGCTTTTGACTCTTTAATGACCACAGTCTGGGCCAAACAAGCAAACAACACTTAGAGCAGGCCCATCCACTCTTGGAAGGAATACTTGCCATCCAGTATTTGGGAATAGTTCACCAAAACTTGATTAGAAGTCACCTAGTGTGAGTGAATCTGGATGCTTAAATTACATCAAGTGGCCCAAAATATGGGCATTGGGCTTATGTGAGTGGACACACTGCGAGGTGTGTGGCTTGTAGGTTATTTGATTTCCTTTATCTGGATGGTAATAGACTTGCAGTCCTTAACTCAGTGCAATAAGAACAACAATAAGTAACATTTTATTTATGGATTTTTTTTCTTAATATTCAATATTCTGTAGTACAACCTGGATTGCCAGTCACAGCTGGCAGGAACAGGAAGGTGAGGAAGGATATAGCGTCCTGGTGCTCTTCCAGTCATGGCTCACAGGCATTATATTTCACACTTGTTTACTGATGGAAATAATGCAAAAGCCCCTTACTAAATGTTAAACAAGTCTAATCACTCTCCAAGAGCTTTGAGCACTTGTGGCAAGTCTTTTCCGTCACCCTGACCTTCAGCTGAAACACTTGCAACAGAAAGTTCCTGTCACCCAAGCCCACAGCCAAATTTTACCATGACAGAATGTTCCTGTCACTTGCCCCTCTAAAAATGCCCCTCAGGCAATTTTTTCATAACATGATGGTCATGTCATCCAGATTGTAGGGGTTAATAAAACAACCTAAAATCTGGCAACTTTTAAATCAATTTTGAAGCAAATTCCTTTTCTTAGATATATATTTCTACACTTACTTCTGCAAGCATCGAATGCTATTACTTTAAACAAAGAAAGCTGCTAATTAGCTGAAATTTGGGAACTGTCAAAAAATAAAAAATACTTGATTGCTGGAATCATTCAAAATAAGCCATTTACATTTAAAATTTCATTTATCAACTTAATTATCCTGTCAAATGCTACTACAACCAAATATTCTTCTTGGCCTTCCCAAAAAGGAGGAGGAGGAGGAGGAGGAGGAGGAGGAGGAGGAGGAGGAGGAGGAGGAGGAAGAAGAGGAGGAGGAGGAAGAGGAGGAGGAGGAGGAGGAGGAGGAGGAGGAGGAGGAGGAGGAGGAGGAGGAGGAGGAGGAGGAGGAGGAGGAAGAGGAGGAGGAGGAAGAGGAGGAGGAGGAGGAAGAGGAGGAGGAGGAGGAAGAGGAGGAGGAGGAGGAAGAGGAGGAGGAGGAAGAGGAGGAGGAAGAAAGGCAACTTACCCCAGACTCTTTATTCTAATCAGGTAATAATGTATACAGATCCTTTATATAACAAAAACTTTTATACATTCGTCATTCTTTTTTTCTATAATTTGCTACCGTCAATACTACTTTATCACTGATTATCAGAAGAAACTTTGTAAATCAGAATACTCCAGAGTCTGAAGTGAGATGTCATTTCCTCTCCCCTGAATTTTTTTTAATATGGTAGTCAAATGGTACAAGCACCCACACTGGCAAACTAATGTGATAAGGTCTCTTGTAATCTCCATTTCTATTTCCTTCTTGTGTGATAATATAAGTTCCCTGCTGCTATTTGTGTTCTATCCAGACACCATAACTAAGAATGGAGAAATACTATGTAATTCTTCATTAATATCTTCTATATAAGCTAAGCTGTCCATAAATAACTATAACATCAATAGCACATCTAGACAATGTTCAGGAAAAAAAATACTATTATAACTTTTATATATATATATATGTGTGTATGTATATATATATATATATATATATATATATATATATATATATATATATATATATATATATATATATATATATATATATATATAAATAAAACAAGGAACCTCATAACTTTGGTCTGAATCAAGTCTTCATTACCCCCATTTTCTGATGTATTTGGAATTCATATCTGCTTCAACTTAATGTCACTTCTAAAAAAATCTAGGAAAACTGAGTGTTTTCTTTATATGTGTTAATGAAAAGTGTAGAAAAAACAATTATATACAACATTTAGATCCACAGTTAGAATTCCTTAAAATGTACTTTACAATATATTTCAGTTATGCCCTACACACCACCGATAAAGACAATTGTTAATGAACGGGACAAAATTAATTGCTGAAATTAAACTCTACAGCACACCCCTAAAAACTATACTATCATCCCTTGGAAGCCCCCCCCCCCCAAAAAAAAAAAAAAAACGCTAAGAAACTAATTTAGTAACTTTCAATGTTCTGGTAAAAGTTGAGAAGACACATGCCTGTCTACCAGGCAATACATAGGACCTATTAGTATGGTCTCCATTGAGGCCGTGAATCATCATCAAACAAAACAGTCCCAGGTTTACTTTTGCAACATTTAGTATACTTGGTGGAGGTCTGCTTGCCTTTGCCAGAGCATGAAGCATTGAGGTCTTTACACAACTTAACCCCTTGCCGCCGGGTGACGGCGATACGCGTGTAAACAAATCGCTCGAAAGGTGGCGTGCGGCCAAACCAGTCGGCGGCGCGCCAAAGCGCGGCGAGCCAGTGATTCGGGCTGACGCCCCGTACTCCGGCGCTCAAAGTCGGCGCGCCGCCTTTGTTTGCCAGAGCGTAGAGTTTTTTTTTCCTTTTGTACACCCGGCGTCATTGGGTTAAAGATTAAAGCAAGCATAAACATCATGTTTTGAAAGCTACTGATAGTGTTATCTCAACTATAGAGGATATTGTAACTTATCTTGCTATCAATATTATTTTGCCAAGATTCTTAGTCTTAGAAGTAGAATTTATGAAAATGTATAAAGTATGCCCCGAATAACAGCAAATGTTATCATCAGTCCCTGAGACTTCTCCCTATTCCTCATAACATAATCCAACAAAACCTAACCTCAACCCACTCCTATACTTGCACCTGACCTGGGCATCATTCCGTAACCAAGATATGAAAGTAACATCCATTACATCCTTCAGTGCATGAAATAATCTAAATAACTGCAAATCTCCTTTCAATTACTTTTGTATATACAATTCTTTGTTTTTTGCAAACCTTCTTAGTTTTATTTTGACATAAAATCCAAAATTAACAATGACTGAGATTTTGGCAAGAAAGGGCACTCATTGGCCTACTCAGGGTTAACAATATATTGTCTATATAAACACATCTTACTTTGCTTGCATTTTCAGTTTTGTAATCTAATACTACTTATAAAAATGGTAGAATAACCCAAACTTCCAAATACAATTACAAATTCCAATTATTTTCTTAAATGCAAGACAAAAAACTAAATGGACTTGGACAGGATTAAAGGCACTATATATGGAAATTAAACAGATAAAAGGAATCTTGCAGTTTCAACTATAATGGCAATTTCCTAAATCATAGTCTTAGATAATGAGGCTACAAGTTGTTCTACGAGGAGGAAGAAATCAAAGTCTGAAAATAATGAAGGCACGATTCCAGGAACCAAGAAAAGAAAATAAGGTAAATAATAAGAAATAAATAAAGAAAAAGGGAAAGAATACCTCCACAAAGGATTCATCTCCCATTTCTGAAAGTTACTTGGGAGCTCGCATGCAATCCCTTTTATTGGATTTAGAGATTTTAAATAGGTCTCAAGAAAATATATAAAAGGAGGTAATAATGGTATGGATGAAAAAAGGGTCTTATTTGTCCTCGTATCAACGGTCCTGGCTCGTGGGGGGGGGGGGGAGAAGAAGAGAGGCCTTTCCCTTTCCCCTTCTTCTCCCTCGCACTTTCCCCTTGGCAACTCAAAACCTTGCTCGTGTGACGTGTTGCATCTTGCAGCATTCGAGCCTCCACCGTCGAGGCCGATCTATGCCTCCGAGCCCGTGAGAACCGACATCCTTCCTCGGCCACCGGTGACGAACTTAAAAATCTGCCTTGAACAATGCACTCACCTTGCACAGCTGCTGCCCCTGCGAAAGCTCCT